TGGGCGTCCCGCGGCCTCCTGAAGCTCTGTGGGGCCTTCTGGGGCTCCCAGGGTCCCAGGGGGGATATGAAACATGTGGTCTTCTGGGCCCCCAGGCTGGACCACCTCTTGCGCAGCATCTGGGAGCTCAGAATTGCGAGAATGTCTTGTGCGAAACGGGCCGGACCACCTTGCGCACGGCATCTCAGAGCCCAGAGTTGCGAAGATGTCTCAGGCGAGATGGGCCGGACCACCTCGCGCAGGGCATCTCGGAGCCCAGAGTTGCGAGGATGTCTCCGACGTGACGGGCTGGACCACCTCGCGCGCGGCACTTCGGACCCCAGAGTTGCGACGATGTCTCGGGCGAAACGTGCTGCGAGGAAGTCTCAGGCGAAACGGGCCGGACCACCTCGAGCGCGGCGTCGCAGAGCTTCGAGTTGCGGGGGCCTCCTGGTGCCTCCTGGGGCCTCCTGGTGACCTCCAGGGGCTTCCTCCTGGGCCTCCTGTGGCCTCCTGGACCCCACGTGGGGCTTCCCGAAGCCTCTTGGGGCTCCCAGGGGGGGATATCTAACATGTGGCCGTCGGGGCCCTCCCAAGGGGGCCACAAGAGCAGGAAAAATCAACGAATCGACACCGGATTTGTATTAATTTGACACGTTCTGATAGGGGGCCTCCTGGGGCCTCCTGGTGCCTCCTGGGAATCTCCTGCGGACCCCTGGGGCCTGTCCTGGGCGTCCTGCGGCTTCCTGAAGCTCTCTGGGGCCTCCTGGAGCTCCCAGGGTCCCAGGGGGGATATGAAACATGTGGTCTTCTGGGCCCCCAGGCTGGACCACCTCTTGCGCGGCATCTGGGAGCTCAGAAATGCGAGAAGGTCTTGTGCGAAACGGGCCGGACCAACTTGCGCACGGGATCTCAGAGCTCAGAGTTGCAAGGATGTCTCAGGCGAGACGGGCCGGTGTCTCGGGCGAAACGTGCTGCGAAGAAGTCTCAGGCGAAACAGGTCGGACCACCTCGAGCGCGGCGTCTCAGAGCTCCGAGTTGCGGGGGCCTCCTGGTGCCTCCTGGCGCCTCCTGGTGACCTCCTGGGGCTTCCTCCTGGGCCTCCTGTGGCCTCCTGGACCCCACGTGGGGCTTCCTGAAGCCTCTTGGGGCTCCCAGGGGGAATATCTAACCTGTGGCCGCTTGGGCCTCTCAAAATGGAGGGGGGGGCACAAGAGCAGGAAAAATCAACGAATCGACACCGGATGTGTATCAACTTGACACGTTCTGATAGGGGGCCTCCTGGGGCCTCCTGGGAGCCTCATGGGAATCTCCTGGGGACCCCTGGGGCCTGTCCTGGGCGTCCTGCGGCCTCCTGGAGCTCTCTTGGGCCTCCTGGGGCTCCCAGGGTCCCAGGGAGGATATGCTGAACCACCTCTTGCGCAGCATCTGAGAACTCAGAGTTGCGAGAATGTCTTGTGCGAAACGGGCCGGACCACCTTGCGCACGGCATCCAGAGCTCAGAGTTGCGAGGATGTCTCAGGCGAGACAGGCCGGACCACCTCGCGCAGGGCATCTCAGAGCTTAGAAGTTCGAGGATGTCTTGGTCTCCTGGGCCCCCAGGCTGGACCACCTCTTGCGCGGCATCTGGGAACTCAGAGTTGCGAGAAGATCTTGTGCGAAACAGGCCGGACTTCCTTGCGCACGGCATCTCAGAGCTCAGAGTTGCGAGGATGTCTCAGGCGAGACGGGCCAGACCACCTCGCGCAGTGCATCTCAGAGCTCAGAAGTTCGGGGATGTCTCAGGCGAAACGGGCCGGACCACCTCTCGCGCGGAATCTCCGAGGTCAGAGTTTCGAGGATGTCTCAGGCGAAACGGGCCAGACCACCTCGCGCAGGGCATCTCAGAGCGCAACTTTTCGAGGATGTCTCAAGCGAAACGGCCCGGACCACCTCTCGCGCGGCATCTCGGGGCTCAGAGTTTCGAGGATGTCTCAAACGAAACGGCCCGGACCACCTCTCGCGCGGCGTCCCGGAGCGCAACTTTTCGAGGATGTCTCAGGCGAAACGGCCAATCCCGGCCAACTCAGAAACGAGAGTGGTGAGGATATCTCAAGCGAAACGGCCCGGACCATCAAATTTTTGTGAGGATGTCTCTGCTCCGACTTCCCTCGGCCGGAGTTAGTTTCTATCACAACAGCACCCCGTTCAGCAAGCTGTTTGGGGAAAAATCGTGACGTCGGATGTCTGGGGAGGGCGGAAGGCAGTGCGCGCATGACGGATGCTGAGGCGGCAGAAACGACGACGGCGGGGACGGGGAGGCGGAGGCAGAGGCGCAGCAGCGGGAGGCGGGAGGCGGGAGGAGGGAGGAGCGAAGACTAACCAGGCGGGAAGTGGGAAGAGGGAGGCGGGAGAAGGAATGAGAGAGGTTGTGATTGGAGCTCCTGTGCTACGAAACGTCTCAGGCAGAATGGGCCAGACAATCTCGCGCGCAACATCTTCGAGCCTCGCATTGCGAGGATGGCTCAATTCCTCGCGAGCGACATCTTGGAGCTCAGTATTGGAAGGATGTCTCAAACGAAACGGGCCGGACAATCTTTCGCACACGTTTTGACAAGTCCACATCGCACTCGCTTCCCGTTAGGTTCTCTCCTGCAACTCCCTTCCTTCTCCCTCCTCCTCCTCCTCCTCCTCCTCCTCCTCCTCCTCCTCCTCCTCCTCCCCCTCCTCCTGCCAGGCATTGCCAGGCATTGCACGCCGCCTGGCTGTCCGTCCGTCCGTCTGTCTGTCTGTCTTCCCGGCTCTCTGAGCCGCGGCGCGTTGAGCTTCTTAGCTCGGGGACGCGTCGGCCACCGCCGCCCTCTCCCTTGTCGGTGGCCCTGACGAGGTTGGGGGAGAGGGTGCCGAAACGCGCCCAGAGTCCAGCAAGGCATGAGGGTGCAAACCCGACTTGTCTGGCTGATGCTCTGGGGGGGCCTGTGCTCAGGGGAGGCTGCAGCACCGCTCAACGATGTGCTGTTTAACCGAACCTGCAGGGTGGGCCCTTTCCCAAATCCGTGCTTCGGTGCGGATCGTAAGCGCGCCTCGTCTCCGTCGTCGTCGTCATCGGCGTCGTCGTGTTCGTGGTGCGTGTTGCTCTGCTCGGGATTCTGTTTCCCTTTTGCAGTGACCACCACCACCACCCCTCCTCCTGCCTGCTCCCTCATGCACATCATCCGCCTCCTCCTTCTCCTTTCCATCTCCTTCTCCTCCTCCTCCTCCTCCTCCTCGACCTCCTTTTCATCCCGAACGGCATCTCGGAACCTAGAGTTGCGAGGATGTCTCCAGCGTAACGAGCTGGACCACCTCGCGCGCGGCATCTCGGACCCCAGAGTTGCGACGATGTCTCGGGCGAAACCTGTGGCCGTTTGGGCCTCTCCAAATGGAGGGGGGGGCACAAGAGCAGGAAGAATCAACGAATCGGCACCGGATGTGTATTAACTTGACACGTTCTGATAGGCGGCCTCCTGGGGCCTCCTGGAAGCCTCCTAGGAATCTCCTGGGGACCCCTGGGGCCTGTCCTGGGCGTCCTGCGGCCTCCTGGAGCTCTCTGGGGCCTCCCCCTCCTCCTGCCTGCTCCCTCATGCACATCATCCGCCTCCTCCTTCTCCCTTCCACTCCTCCTCCTCCTCCTCCTCCTCCTCCTCCTCCTCCTCCTCGACCTCCTCTTCATCCCGAACGGCATCTCGGAGCCTAGAGTTGCGAGGATGTCTCCAGCGTAACGGGCTGGACCACCTCGCGCGCGGCATCTCGGACCCCAGAGTTGCGACGATTTCTCGGGCAAACGTGCTGCGAGGAAGTCTCAGGCGAAACGGGCCGGACCACCTCGAGCGCGGCGTCTCAGAGCTCCGAGTTGCGGGGGTCTCCTGGTGCCTCCTGGGGCCTCCTGACCTCCTGGAGCTTCCTCCTGGGCCTCCTGTGGCCTCGTGAACTCCAGCTGGGGTTTCCTGAAGCCTCTTGGGACTCCCAGGGGGGATATCGAACCTGTGGCCGTTTGGGCCTCTCAAAATGGAGGGGGGGGCACAAGAGCAGGAAAAATCAACGAATCGACACCGGATGTGTATTAACTTGACACGTTCTGATAGGCGGCCTCCTGAGGCCTCCTGGGAGCCTCCTGGTGCCTCCTGGGGCCTCCTGGGGACCTCCTGGAGCTTCTTCCTGGGCCTCCTGTGGCCTCCTGAACTCCACCTGAGGTTTCCTGAAGCCTCTTGGGGCTCCCAGGGGGGATATCTAACCTGTGGCCGCTTGGGCCTGTCAAAATGGAGGGGGGGCACAAGTGCAGGAAAAATCAACGAATCGGCACCGGATGTGTATTAACTTGACACGTTCTGATAGAGGGCCTCCTGGGGCCGGGGCCTGTCCTAGGCGTCCTGCGGCCTCCTGGACCTCTCTGGGGCCTCCTGAGGCTCGCAGGGACCCATGGAGGATATGTAACATGTGGTCTTCTGGGCCCCCAGGCTGGACAACCTCTTGCGCAGCATCTGAGAGCTCAGAGTTGCGAGAATGTCTTGTGCGAAACAGGGCATCTCAGAGCTCAGAAGTTCGAGGATGTCTCAGGCGAAACGGGCCGGACCACCTCTCGCGCGGCATCTCCGAAGTCAGAGTTGCGAGGATGTCTCAGGCGAAACGGGCCGGACCACCTCGCGCAAGGCATCGCAGAGCTCAGAGTTTCGAGGATGTCTCAGGCGAAACGGCCCGTACCACCTCTCGCACGGCACCTCGGGGCTCAGAGTTTCGAGGATGTCTCAAGCGAAACAGCCCGGACCACCTCTCGCGCGGCGTCCCGGAGCGCAACTTTTCGAGGATGTCTCAGGCGAAACGGCCAATCCCGGCCAACTCAGAAACGAGAGATGTCAGGATGTCCCAAGCGAAACGGCCAAAACCATAAAATGTTCGTGAGGATGTCTCTGCTCCGCCTTCCCTCGGCCGGAGTTAGTTTCTATCACAACAGCACCCCGTTCAGCAAGCTGTTTGGGGAACTAGTCGTGTGCTGTTTCAGCGATGGCGTTTATTTTTTTCACTCACGGAACCAACACCTGGCCAGCAGTTGCCGCGCAGCCGGCGTTAAAACTGTTAAAGCAGTGTGCGCCCCAACTGGCGTTCAAACTGTTAAAACAGATTGCGTCCACATCTGCCGGAGGAGGAGGAGGACGACGACGACGGAGGAGGCCGAGGAGGCGGGAGACACACATCCAAACCAAAGAGCCTGCTATAGCCAACCTGGAATAGGTGAGCCGCTGCATGCACTAACAAGCTGGGACAACATGAAACAGTGCAGGTTTATGCACCCTCAGCGCCGCCCCTGGCGCGGGGGCGCGCCTCCGGGGAGGGGAGCTCGGCGCCGATCCGAGAAGCCCGCACGGACCTCCGATGACCCAAGGAAGACGTAGCCTGACTTCGGCCCCCGCCTCTGCATCAGTGATGATGCATCTGGGCGGTCTGGTCCGATGCACCAACTGGAAAGACCCCGTACCCCTGCACAGAGCTGGGCCCCTCGACGCAGGTCCACCCCCAACGATGCACGGGCCCGCTAAAGATAAACCCGGACAGTTCATGCCTATGCTACTTGTTGTTCCTCGATGTAGGGCGACGCAATCTATACATATCCACTGCTCCCTGGCCAGGCCCATACTGAACACAGCAGCTGTGTATACGCCACGCCCTCCTGGTTTGGCCAGGAGGGCGTATACACAGCTCCTGGGTTCAGGATGGGCCTGGCCAGGGAGCAGTGGATATGTATAGATTTCGTCCCCCGACGATGGTCAGCCCTGCTGTGTTCAGCTGGTCTGGTTCCTGGGCGCTGCTGCGCCGCTGCTGGGCAGAAGTGGCTCCCCCGTCGTCCTGCCTGATCGCCGGGGTCCCGCGGCCCGCGGGCCCGGCGCCGACCCGAGAAGTCCGCACGGACCTCCGAGGCTTCTGAGCTTGCCATGTCTTCTTCTTGCCATGGCACAGGGCTGGCGATCAATTCCCAAATCAGGCTGCGTCTTCCTTGGGTCATCAGGGGTTTTACTTCCAGTGAAGTGAGAACCACCGGGCCCATCTTCACCATTCGGGCAATCGGGCTGGCGAGGGAATTGCCGCAGCGCTCACGGCAGATCGCCCGCCTCGTCCCAGTCGCCAGCGGCCGCCGCCCACCGCCGCCGGAAGCCGTCCGCCTCCACCTGGGAATCGAACGCTCACACGGGCCCACTGCCCTCGTCGGGGTCGCACACTGCAGACATGCTGGTGCTACTTGCGCCCCCCTTGGAGGCGCACGTCCGAGACGAGCATATAGCACAAACATATGATCGTACCTGTCGTTGCCCAAGTCTGTCCGGTCGGGCTTCCGACATTTGCTCAGGGGCCCCCACCCTCTGCGGGTCGCACTTCGTCGCGGGCACCGCCCCCCGCTCCCAGAATCCCTCGCCGAATCGCGCAGATTCGCGCTCCCGAGATCCAGCTGCCTCCAAGACGACCCAACATCGCTCCAAGACGGGCCACGTTGGCCTCAAGGCGGCCCAAAGTGGCTTCGAGGCGGCCCACCAGGCCGTCGAGGCGTCCCAAGAGGGCTCCGAGAGCCTTCCTGATAGGGCCTCGAGAGGCAACAAGCATTGATCTTCTTCAGGGTTTTCCATATGTTTCGGATTCTCGCCCTTTCGTGCTTCCGACGCCCCAGAACGACCCAAGAGGCCCCAGGACTACCCCAAGACGGCCCCAGAGACCCCCAAGAGGGCTCGAGGACGGCCCAAGAGGGCTCCAAGACGGCCCCAAAATCGCCCCAGAATGCTCAAGAGGACCCCAAGAAGGGCCCTAGAGGGTGAACACGAACCGACAATTCGAGCCTTCCGCCCCAAGAGGGTTCGGGAGGCCACAAGAGGGCCAAAAAGACGCCTCTAAGACGGCTCCGCGAGGTAAACTCCATTGAGCGTTCTGAGCTTTTTGGGTGTTTTTGTGTTCTCGCCTTGTCGAGCTTCGGACAGTCCAAGACGGCCAACGCGACCCCCAAGACTCCTGCGATACGGCCCGAAGCCCCCAAGACTCCCCCGAGACGGCTCAAGAGGGCCCCGAGATGGCCCAAGAGGGATCCAAGACGGCCCAAGAGGCGCCAACGACTCCCCACGAGAGCCCCAACACGGCCCCAAAAAGGGCCCAAGACCGGGAACACGGACCCAAGAGGCCCTGGAAGGCTCCCTTGCCTTCTCGAAAAGTTGCCACCCAGAATGCTGCGTTCACACGAAGACGACATTGCCGGAGGCAGCTGAATAACTATGTTCCGATAGTGCCGATCATCCTCCCTCCCTCTTTCCCTTCTCCGATTGCTGTCACCCCTCCTGGGATGGGAACGGGGAGAAGCGAGGTGGACCAGTGGGAATCGAGCGCCCACGCAGGCCCATCTTCCATCATCCTCCCCCTCTCCCCCTCGCGATTGCTCCCCCACCCTCCGTAGCCATTTGGGCTCGAGGTTCTGCGTTCCCCAGAAGAACAAAGTGGATGCCGCTAGTCCGCGGCCAGCGTCCAACCTCTTTCGTGCAGACAGCTCGGCGCTCGCTCCATCACTCGCCAGCACTGCACTGGCTCCTGGCGGCCTCATCCCTCCCGTCTTCCACGGCAAATGGGCAGCCGCGTGGGCTAGCGCCAGGCAGCAGGGAGGCCGAGCGCCGTGCGTGGGCAACGCCCTGGCTGCGCCGCTGGCGCCTCCATCCCAGCTCTGGCGAGAAGTGGTGGCACCGGGGGCGACCTCACATCCGGTTCTCTTTGCAATCCAACGACGGGAGTATGCTTTGGAGGCCATCGGGCGCTCGAGGCCCCCAGCCTCCGCTCCCCAGTCGTCGAGAAAGCCAAGCAGCAGAGAGTCCAGCAGGACAGGGATGTGCTCCGCGAGAAGCACCGCGAAATCGCAAAGCTGCGCGAGCAGATACGGGCTGGATCCTCGCAGGCTTCTTCGGGTTCATCCCCTGCCGCCTCTACGCACAACGGCGACGACAAGGACAAGGCCCGCCTCGCGCAGATTGCCAGCCTACTCAAGCGGCTGGGCGACTGTGCTGACCCAGCCATCACCGAGGCCAGACAGGACCTCAAAGGTGAACGCGACAGCATCACAACTAATATCGTCCGCTGCAAGCAGCACGCGGGCCAGCTACACCACTGCACCGCCAGGATCCAGGCGCTCGAGAAGGAACGAATGCACCAGCAGCAACTTCTGGACAAGTATCGTGCCCAGCTGAAGGAGCCCGACGCAAACGTCGACAGGGCTGAGAAGTGCCTCTCCGAAGTGGCGGCGGGCATTCAGGAGCCCCTGCGGGCGCTGCGACGACTCGGGCGAGAGGCCCGCCAGCGCCGCCTCGGGGCAGGTGGCAAAAATTGGGGCAGACCCCATGTACATCCCGTGCCCGACGCGCTGATTCTGCGGCATAGTGATAAGCGCCGGCTTGCCCTCCAGCCACAAGAGCTGGATGGACAGGGGGGTGTCCTCGTCGATGAACATCCAGTCGTCCAGCACCGCGGCCTTCGCCGTGTCCAAGCCGCGGAAGCAAAACTGCCCCCCGCCCGGCCTCTCCCGCGCGTGCTCACCGCCGAACAGCGGCCGCGCCGCCCAGAAGAGAAGGGACTTCTCCTCTCCGCCGAAGCGCCCAGCCATGGTGACCACTGGGGCCGTCTCGGACCGACCGTGCTTTAGGGACATCAAGGTCACGTTTGCGCAGATCGGGGGCGCCGATGCGATTCATCGACGGGCTCTCGCGGGCGCGGTGCAACCAGCGGCCGCCGCAAACGCAAGGCGTCCGCAGGGCCTCCTTGACCTGTTGCAGGGCGTATTTCGTCGAATATTCGAAGAAACTGTCCACGTTCTCCCGAGCCCAATCCTGGTCGACTATCTTCTCCAGCACGCGCTCGCTCTTGACCATCCGGGCAGCCACCGCGCGCGAGCAAGACGTCTTTGCACACGCCATCAACTGGCGCACTGCGCGGGGGTCGTCCGGATAATTTCGGATCCCAGACCTGACCGCTATCGGCCACAGGTCCAATTCCTCGACGCGAGGCTCTGGCCCCCCCTTCTCGCCCTCGACCTGCCCCCGCCCAGCCCTGCGCTTACAGCGCGGGTGGTCGTCGGCCCCCTCTTCGCCGCGGTCAGCGGCGGGTGCTCCGCGGGCCAAGCCGAGTAGTCAACGTCCAGGGCGCTCCGCGGCTTCTTGGGCGTCGCGTTCGCGCAGTACCCGACGGCCGACCAGTGCCCGTCGTGGCTGCAGGACCAGTGGTGGGCGAGTTGGTACCTGTTGAGCAAGGCCCTCTTCACGGTCAGGGACCTGCTCTTCTTGTCCAGGAGCATGGCCACGTGGTAGCGCGCCCGCAGGTCGCCTGCCACTGGCGCGTCGTATTCTTCGAGTACCACCGGATTCTTGACCCCGACCCGCGGCGGCTGGCGAGCCGCGCGGGGTCGGCGCCCGGGGCGCCGCGGCAGTCCAGGAAAGCGTCGCGAACCGTTCCTCCCCCCGCGAGAAAGCCGCTGGCGCTTTGAGGCCCTCCTTCTCCGTGCGCGGCAGAGTCGCCAAGTGGACCTCCCGCGAGGCGTTCCTGTTCTCCTCGCCGACGACCTGCTCGAGGAGCGCCGTCTGCTGGCCCTGCCCCCCCACGAGCCCGCGGCGCTTCCCTGGTCTGTCCGCTGAGATCGCCATCCCCGGGCGCGACCCGGCCACGGCCAGCCCTCGCCCCGCTGAGCCGACAGGCTACAGAGAATAACGCAATGCGGACCGTCGGAGTCTTCGGGGGCATCGTAAACCAATTCAGCTGGCGCACGTGGCCCACCTGTCGCGCGCCGCGCACATGTCGCACGCGGCGCAGTTGGCGCGCCCGGCGCCCGCGTCGCACCCCCTGCACCTCTGGGCGGGGTCGGCGGATCCTGGCCATAGATGCCGCTCGAGCGGCAGTGTTGGACATGTGTAAACATGCGTTAAAAAGCCACACGGAACCTACAGTGAACCATCAGTGAACTAACAGTGAACCAACAGTGAACCATGGCAAATTACATAGTGAACCTCGATTTCTCTTTAACAAGCCAACGTTCTATTTTAATCGAATTCGAAGTTCGCTATGGTTTTAACGAAGGTTTACTGTTGGTTCACTGTTGGTTCACTATGTGTTTGCTGCATGTCTCGTGCGCGGGGCTCTCTGGGGCGGCCAGGGCGCTGGCGCTTGGGGGGCAGCATGCGAAGATAAGCTACTTTCGGCTACGTCTGCTGGCCTTGTGGCCGCAGGGGCGGTAGACGCACGGATTGGTCTTGATCGTGGACCGCGACTGGCTCCCGCCTCCCTTCCCGCGCCCCACGTCGCTCGCGCGGGTCAACCGAGGCGCGGGGCCGCCCGCCGCCCCGGCCCGCTGCGGGCTGCGCCGCGGTCGCCCGCCGCCCCGGCACGCCGCGAGTCGCGCCGCGGCCGTCCGAGGAAGCCGCTCGCGCGCTCACTTCCCGCCGCCCTCGGCGAGATGGCCGCCCTTTGCCTCGACCAGCAAGCCGCGGCGCTTGTGCAGGCTGCCCGCGATGCTGCGGATGTGCTCAGAAGGCGTCGCCAACGCCGCGCGGCGCAGCCAGGCAAGGTACTGCGCCCGCGTCTCCGTCTTGCTCGCGGGCCAGTCCTTCTCCTGCCCGCTCATGCGCTTGTTCAGAATGGCCCAGAATGCGAAATCATGCGGCATTAGATCAGGGGGCCGCGTCAGCAAGTCCAACGTCTGGATGCCAGCGGACTTCTTCGCCGCCATGCCCGAGCGAGATTTGTAGCCCGTGGGGTCGTTGTCTTTCACGACGCGGAACTTGCCGCGCGCGGAATGGGTAGGCCCTCTTTAAAGGGGCTGGAGCGCCCGAATACATTCGCTCCGCGGCTGCGGCGTTCCACCCGCCGACCACCCGGTGCTGCGTGGACACTTTGCCCACGCCCATGGCGCGCGCGATGGCCGCGGAGCCCTTGCCCGAACTCTGCTTCAGAACCTGGGGGCAAGCCAAATCAGAGCGCGCCGTTGGCCACTGGCCTGGCGCTGCGTGGCCTCGGCGCGGTGTCCCGCTTGCGTTTCCTGTGCGCCCCGCGAACCTTGCGCTTCGCCGCCGCCTTCCTGTGCCACGCATGGGGCAGCATCTGGAACACCTTGTTGTCCATGCGCGCGTGGACGTACTGCGACCACTGGCTGGGGGCCCTGTGCTTGTGCTCGCGGGCCCGCAGCAGGCGCTCCTTCTTGACCCCGTCCGAAAGGTCAGGCCTCTCGTACAGCGGGCGGAACTGATAGCCATTCTCAGCAAACGCGCAACCCACTATCTCGATGTCGCAATGCAACTTCATCTCGGACTTCAACATGGCTGCCGTCACCTCCTTTGTGCCGCCAGAGGCCTAGAACAACTTCTTGTAAGCGCGCTGAGTAGCGAGAAACCCTTTAGGGGTGCGGACAGGACGCTTCGGGCGGCCCTTGGACTTCTTGGTTGCGTTCTTATTGAACAGGTGCTTCGAGACGGTGTCCGCGGGGCGGCTCAAGGCCGCGGTGATGCTCTCGACGCCGGCGCCGCCGGCATGCAAGCGGCGCATTGCGACGTGCTCGTCGGCAGATACATGAGTGACAGAGTTCGAAGACATTCCCCGGCTGTGGAAACAACGACGGGCGACATGCGCTCGATCCACAGAGCGCTGCGGCCATTCTTCCAACGGGGGCATCGCGAAAATGGATGCAGTCCACTGAGCGATGGCATCCTACATCCCGGATGCCCTTCTCCATCAGTAGCGCCATGGGTCGAATGGCTTCTGTCTGTGAAAATGGCCAAGATCTGCGCGACACCCGCGCGCAGGTGCGCAAGGGGGATCCATTTTGGGATCCTCCCTCGCTGCTGCTTCGTCGGCTTCCCTCCGGCAATGTCGTCGGCTGCCTGATTCCTGGTGGCCTGCCTGCTCGGCTGCCTGTTGGCTGCCTTGCTGGCTGCCTCGATAGCTGCCTCGTTGGCTGCTTTGTTGGCTGGCTCCTTGGCTGCCTCGTTGGTAGGTCTCATTGGCTGCCTCGTTGGTTGCCTTGCCGGGTGCTGTGTCGGTGGCCTCGCTGGTTGCCTTGCTGGCTGCCTCGTGGGCTACCTCGTTGGCCGCCTCGCTGGCTGCCTCGCCGGTTGCCTCGACGGTGTTTTTTTTGTTGTCTGCTCCGCGGGCTGCCTCGTCGGAGGCCTCGTTGGCCGCCTCGCTAAGGCCTCGCGGGCTGCCTCGTTGGCTGCCTCGTTGGCTGCCTCGCCAGCTGCTTTCTTGAGAGCCTGCCAGACAGCTGGAGGAGTCGCAAAGCGATCAGAATGCTTTTCGCTCTCCAGCGCGCAGCGCCAGAGCTCTCATCAGCCGCCCGCCGGGCGGAATACCGCAAATGAATCGAGGGCCCCGCGGGGCCCGCAGAGCCAAGCGGCGGCGGGCAGTGGACCTCCAGAAGGCTCTCTAGAGGTCCTCAAGTACACAGGCCCCGGCCGGGCCACGCCACGTGGCCCCTGGCGGGCCAGCATAAAAGAGGCAGCCCCTGGTGGACTGGCAAAATATGAAGACCCCTCGGCCAACATCCCAGGAACTCCCAGGAACTCAAAAGACGACGTGCGCGCTGGGCGGAAGATGGGAGATGGTAGGAACGCGCGCACTCCGTCAGCTCCTCCTCCTGCCAGATGCCATCTGGAGCTCGAAGGGGTAACAATCAACGATCATTGACTGAGTCGCTTGCTGCAACATGGACATGGAAATATGGAATAGCTTCGTGAAAACGAACCGGCCGCCAGAAGCGCACCCAAATATAAAAAGAAGAACCTGAACTCACTGGGGCTGCCAGCGCGGCCTTCGCCTTCCCCGCGCTGCAGAACGCCCCCGCATCCTCAATCGTCCGTCAATGGACTTTGCGCCCACGTAGTAGCTAATGCCACTGGCCATCTTGTTCGCCTCGTCCCTAATGATCTGCCTGCCCTCGGGGCTATAATGCCTCATCACGCGCTCCGAACGAAGTTGTCCCACTCGGCCTTATCATTCAAGTTGGTAAATCAGGATGCGCTGGCAGTTCGCAGAGGGCGAAACGTTCCAGTTCTCGGTTCGCCCAGGTGCTCAAGCTCAAAGTTTTCAGCCATATGCGCAATCAAGGCCCTCGGTCGTGCTTCACATGGCAAGGTGCGCGCGCTTTGGCGCACTGGTCTACTCCCAGCAGCTGCGCATGGTGTGGGCGCTAGTGGGGTCGGCCCAAAAACGCCCGTCAAGTTCCGTAGTCTTGCTGGGCTCCTGGTTAGTGCGAGGCAGAATGCTAGTGTTACCGCTTGGTTGGCCACGCAGACGGACGAGTTCGACGACCCAATATTCGGCAACACGGCTGGGATGGTTTGTCGGTATGCGGCTTTGATTTGGGATCGTGTTATGTCGTTGGCGACTCTGCAGCGTGCATGTATGAGTATCACGCCGGGTATTCAGAAGGACTGGAGTTGGCCGAGATGTCATGGACCATTGTCGGCAGTTGTTCTGATCCTACGTCGCATTGACTGGGGAATGACGGCTACCCACCTGCTCTCGACGGACACCAGCACTGACGTGGATTTGCTCGTCACACCGCCATCCGAGCTCAGGCACTACTGCCAGAGGGCATTGGGCGCTGGCAGATGACAAGGATCTTGATGCGTATACCAGGCGATCACAATGTGCTGAAGGTGGTATAGCGTCGTGCCCTGCGGAATGCCATCCTGACCATCAAGGACCCAACTCGCAGAGGCTGTGCCAAATGTCTCCTGGGGTCTGCCCTGTGGCCTCCCGCCAGGAAGAAGATGGCTGGATTCCGTCAGTCTGGAGACTGTGAGGTATTTGGTCTGGGGCCCCAGGGACTCTTGGGCACCAGTTATTCGATCGCGATGCCCTCCTGAGGCCCTCAGAAGACCCTGACATTGGGACTTTGGAGCCCGAGCTGTTGGAGCACAGGGAGTATCTGAGATACCTCGGGGACAAATGTCTTCGTGAACCTGACTGGGGCACGCTTGAGATTGCCTACGGCATCCCGTATCGCTCCATCAAGCATGCGACGCCAGCTTCAGTTCGTTCGGTGTCCCTCTGGGGGGCAACTCACCTGCCGTGGGGCAGTCGGCTCTATACCGATGGATCGGGGCTCGCGAACGCGAGCCCAAAGCTCCGAAGGTGTGGCTGGGCCGTCGTCGAAGTTTCCGACTCGGGGTTCCCCGTCAGGGCCGCGTATGGTCCCTTGCCTGGGCGCCAGTCGGTGCCTCGCGCCGAAAGGTTTGCTGGTTTTCGCGCGGTCAAAATTGCTCCCCAGGTCAGGACCATTTTTAGTGACCATTTGAGTTTTGTCAAGGAAGGGCGGTCAAGCCACCACGACCTCGCCAGCGCCCAGAGCCCCCCATGGCGACATATGGCGCCAAATCTTTCGGTTGCGCCATCCCAGCATCGTGTCTCCGTCTCTCGAGTGGGTGAACGCTCACCGTACGCTCGAAGATGTGATGGATCAACAGCCGGAGGTCATTTAGAATTTCCGGGGCAACTCTTGGGCTGATTTCTTCGCCAGTCTCGGAGCCCAGGGACACCAATAAGCCTAGGTTGCGTTAGATGCCGAGCGCCAGCATGCCAAGCAATGCAAGCTCACTTGGAGGTTCCTGTCGAGTGCTGTCCAGATCGTGTGTGCAGAGGCCTCCCTCTTGGAGCCATTGCCGAGTCAGAACGCCGACAAGACGCTGAAGAAAATATCGCTTCAGGTTGTCAATCACGATTTGTTTGTTATCCCCTGGAGGTCGGAAGGGAGGTGCCGTGCCTGCAACATCTCTGCCACTACCGACATGACCCTCAAGGGGTTACTCAGCGGAGCCAGGAGGAGGTGCCAGCCCACACATGCGCAGAGGTGGAGGGCTGACCAGTTCTTTCGGCTGCATCCTGAAGCGACACCATTCACCACCCAGCCTGCACCCGTCAATGCCTGTTCTGTTGCGAGTGTCCTGGGGCCGTGTGGGTCCCATGGGGCCGTGGAGTCCGTGGGCCAAGATGGGTGCAGACAGTCTGGGTTGAAGTTTCTGAGGCTTTCTGCCATGTGCCCACCAGGCAGGATCGCGTCGTGATCTGCCAAGCCTGTGCTGCCTACCTTGTCCTGCCCGATGGGCATTGCAAGAAATTAGAGCAGCAGTGTGGCGGCGTGGCACTAAACAAGAATACCTTGGCCACGCACGCGCGCCTGCCGCGGAATGCCGCCCTGGGTTTGCACCCCAGGACTGGGGTCCGTCTCGAGCCCTCCGTTGCTGTTCCTCTGCAGGTGCCCCCTCCGCCTGTCCTTGGGCCTCCTGGGGGCCCTGGCGCGGCTGCTTGCGGCTCCGCGGGGTCTGTGCTCGCAGATGTGCCTCGCCCGACTGTTGCCGAGGGCCCCTCCAGAGCTGCTGCGCCGTCGTGCATCCCTGCCCGTGGCGACGATGACAGCTCTGACTAAGGTGTCGCGCTTTGCACGCTCGAGCCATGCCGTCATCTTGTCGGCTGCGAGCTCGTGCACTGAGCCCTGTGGCTGTCACCCTGACAGCTGCACTTTGGGCTCTTCTTGCACCGCACCGTGGTGCTAGTCTCGCAGGAAGATCACTCGCCCAGGTCTGCTAGTGACACACCTGCAGACTTGAGACTCGCTCGTTCGATTGCTCTCCCACCCTCCCGGAATGGGGAAGGGAAGGCGCGAGGTGGAGCATGGTAATTGTCCCCCTCCGACCTTCTTCTCCACCGTCGCCAAGTCCATGAGGCGGAAGATCTCGTTGAGGTAGCGCCGGGAGGGCTCCGCACTGGGAGGGATCGAAGGCCCCGAAGGGCGGCACATGTGGAGCATTTTGGAGGTCCGCGCAGATTTCTTGGTAAGACTAACCCAAGACCGCGACAACATCGGACCAGGATCAACCGGGGATCTCTGAGACCCGGTGGCTCTGGAGGATGGATGTAGCGGGCGCAGCGGCGGTTCCAGAGCGCTCAGGAACGCTCTGAGAGGATCCGGGAACGCTCTGGAACGATACATCCTGGTCCTAGCCCCGCCCGACTTGGGTCGACGCTGGATCCCCCCCGTCCTCGCATGCATCCCTGGGCGCGCCTCTGGCGCCACCCAGGTGCCCAGCGAGCCAGAAGGGGGGGGCGTGGCAAAAGGGGGGTCCAGCGCCGACCCGGGAAGCCAGCGCGGGCCTCCGAAAGCATGTGCCTGCGCAGCCTTTCTGTCTTCGGATGGTACCCGTCCTTCAGCCACAGGGACGGATCGTCGGCCCCGCGCTCCTGGATAAGATCGTCCATGATCTGGCTGTAGTCGATCACCTCGTACTTGCCGTACAGCTTGCCATCCTTGATGTGCTTCCTCAGCTCCCTCTGCATCATGCGGATTCCATCATTCGAGATTGCCGCCACATCCTTGTACACGAGTCCTGCGTCACTAACGACCCACTTTGTGTTGTACACTGCGGGCGCAGTCCTGAAGACGATGCGGCTCTCGTTGTATGCCTCGGACACGCGGGCCAATTCATTCTTCAGATCACGCATGCCCCACTGGCGCAGCCGGTCTGCCGTCACGTTTCTCATGCCCCACGAGGCCCAGGTCGACAGGTCCCACAGGGAGCTGTCCACCACGACCATGTCGGGGAACAGCTCTCCCACCATGCTCGAGGACCACTTGCGCAGGACCTTGTCGTCGGATATAGGCTGCCCTATATTGGAGCCCCACTGGGTGCGGTTGTAAAAGGGCGGCTGCAGGTCACCGTTGATGCCCACCCCGGGGTGGAAGACGAAGCCGATGTTGAGCTGGCGCTCCTCGTCGTAGCACCCCACGCGGTAAAACCTGTCGACCTTGCCGCAGAAGCTCTCCACGGCGTTCCTGTCTACAGAGCATCCCAGGATGAGGACCGAATGATTGGAACCCCGGAGCTGGGTCAGGGTGCCCGTGTCGGCATGGAGCCCGCTCGCCACAGCGGCACAGGCCACCAAACATCCCACGCGAATCATCGTCGTGCAGACCATGGAAGAAATAAGTATGTGATCTCGATTGTGAATCAAATTATTGAGCCTGGATGGGAGGAGAAGGAGAAGATACTCGCCGACGACATCGCTTTGAGGGACGCCGCGTGCTGACACAAACCCCAAGGCTGATGAGAGCATCGATAGCACTGTAGACAACAGAAATGGGCTGTCGGGTCGTGGGGACATCGGCCATGCGGCTGGCAATCGACTCTCACACGACGCAAGTAACTATGTGCTGATGCGCGTGCTTGGCATGTTACACTTTTTGGCGTATGGAAGTCTATCGGCCCCAACGCCAAGGTGGTATATGTAGCGCATTTTGAAGTAGAGGTCTCTGTTGATACACCAGACGGACTGTATTGGATCACCGATTTCTTTGCCATGGCCGTCGCAGAACTCCATAAGTGCATTATGGTCCAGCGAACCGCCGAGCAGCAATACTCGTCGCTCGTCCTGGACGACCGTCGTCGTGGACGACAAGTCCATGACGTGCAAAGCAGATGCACCCACAATGCAGGCCCCTACGCACGTGCGCATATATGCATGTAGAGTTCGTGTGCGATGGCCCTGCCGCCAGGGAGAGCTGGAATTCTCTCGAATCAGAACGGTGACGGCTCCACCTCTCTGCCTGCTCGATGTGTATGATGTGCCTGCCTGCTGTGCTTGCCTACCACACATACTGCGAGAACTGAAATCGAGCCTGAAACAATCGTGAACCGCTCTTCTGGACCACGTCGAACCATAACACACCAACCGTGTGCGATAGATGGCAATAATACCCCATATAAGATAGTTCGGGGGGTCTGGCGGGAATCATCAACAATTTTTCCGGGGAAGGTGATGTTAGTTCGAAATTATGATGATGATGACGATGCTAATGATGATGGTGATATTGGGCGCTCGTGTACACGGACCTTGTTGATATTGGCACAAGACTGACTCGAGAGATCTCGAGGCTCGTGGCTACAACTTGCCAGCGCAAGAAAGGTATTTGGCCGTTCTGGCCAAGAAACCTCCCGCACGTTCGTGACTTGGGCAAACTGAACTGGTGAGAACCCCACAGCCCTTGCCACACGCTCGTGATTGTGGAAGGTGATGTGGTGAGACCACCATGGCCATGCTCAGCGTTTTTGATGCGGTTGATAGTCAACATGAAATGATAGCAACTTCGATTCGCAACTTCCCCCGTGGATTAACAAGTTCGGCCCCCGCGCCCCTCTCCACAATAAAATCCGATTGGGCCAGGATAGTAAGAATAGAGAGAGTGACGGGGGGTATGTGGTATTATCCGCCGAACGCGGTTAGTGAACGTGCCGGCACGCGCCGCCGGACCAGCGAAACGCCTCCCCCAGGCACCCCGTGGAGATTCTGCTGAAACGAATCTTTGAACCTTATGATGTATATTTTAAGCGAATCGCTGATCAGTTCGGGACCACCATGTAAAATATCCCACTGGGTGGCCTGGACACGCGAAGACACATAATCACTGCGAGGGATGCAATTTAGTGCGTCCTTCTTCTGGACCACATCGAACCAAAACACCATGATGAACGCTGCCGGCACGCGCCGCCGGACCGGTGAGACGCGTCCCCCCGGCCCACCGTGGAGATTCTGGTGAAAAGGAATATTTGGACACTATGACTAGGTCGGGTATGTGCTCCTACAGGGGCATTTTGGACGACAGAATTAAGAATAATTAGAGAAGACTCACACATATCAGAAAATTGATCAAAAGTCGTCTCAGCCTAGTTCTTGACAATTTTTGCGTACTCCTCCTGTATAGAGGGACGAACCCGCCTTAACTTGTTTGACGCGCGGACGCGAGCAGGCGCGCAGCCGCAGCGCTCGACCCCACCCAAGGCTCAGTCCTGGACCTTTTGGGAGCTGCGCAATGCGTTGCGCAGCCAGGCATGCAAACGCCTGCCCTGCCTCCCGCGCAGGGCACTTCGCCGAGGAGCAGCGCCGCCTGGCGCCGCGCCGGCAGACGCTCCCGCCAGCCTGGGCACGCGCTCCCCAGCATGCCAGGTGCCGACGTCGCACTGCCGACGCAGCGGAGGCAGAAGACGTGGCCGGGCCCGCCACCAAGAAAGCCCAGCGAAAAACGCGGCCAGCATGTCGCCACTGCTGACGGGCGCATCAGCGCCGCTCTGGCGCGGGCAGGCCGGCGCTTGCGCCACCTGGCCGGCCGGAGTCGGCCGCCGGGGCGGACGCCGCGCGGGCCCAGACGCCGCGGCGAACCCTGCGCCAGTCGCGCTTGCGGCGGCGCGCGGCAGGCGGCGCCGCTGCGAGGGCGGCTTGCTGCGCGGCGGCTATAACGCGCTGCGCAGCCGCCAGCAGCTGCATCTCCTGGCAGCGGGCGTGCACCACGTCTGGCGGCGGCGCCCTGCTGGCTGCTGCCGCGCCAGCACTGCCGTCGGCCGCCGCGTTGCCGAGGCGGCCCCGCTCGCTTAGCCCCAGGCGGCGCGCCTCCGCTGGCGTCTTGCGGGATGACACCCACCCAGGGGGTGAATGGAACCAAAAACATGAAGACAATTGTTATGATGATGATGAAAACGCGCGAAGATGAAGACAAGGGGCAAAAGTGAAGACAGGCAGCAAAAGTGAAGACAAGCTTAAGAAACAGCAAAAATGAAGACAAACTTAACAATCACAAACATTGAGGACAACAACATGTTATGATATCTGTAGCCTGTAACACGTATAATGTAGGCGGCGCGTGCCATATTTGTGGCATATGTAGCATGCAACACATGTACTGCACGTATCACATGTAGTACATGATATGTAGTTACACATGGAATGCCCGCAGAGCGTGTACCACATATGGTTGGTAAGTGTGCTGGGTGGCTTGCGATTCTAGTTTTGTGGTTTACGATTTCTTATGCGAGACGCCCACGATCGTTGTGTAGCGCGCCATGGAGCCCTGGCAGTTCTTCGGTCTGCGTGATCCGTGGCACATGCAGGCTTCGGGTGAAACACACATGCACACATACATACACACACAAACAGACACACCCACACAAAAACACACACACACACGAGGAGGGGGGAGGAAAAGCAGGAGGAGGATCCGATGGCCATTCTGGCCCAAGGGCCCCCGTGGGGGGCCCCGCGGGGGCGGCCCCATGTGGTCCCGCTCCTCCACCTTCATTCCTGAACCTCCGATGGCGAAGGAGAACAGGAAAGAGAAAGAGAAAGAGAGAGAAAGAACAAGAGAAAGAGAAAGAGAAAGAGCAAGAGAAAGACAAAGAGAAAGAGCAAGATAAAGACAAAGAGGAGGGCGCCGCTTCAAAAGGAAGCGGCGCCTCCTACCTCGACGGGCCCGACGAGCCCGACACCGACGAGTGGGAGCCTGGCGCAGCAGTGGTCGCCCAAGCCCGGGGCGGGAGAGGGTTGCGGCGAGGAGGGGAGGGGATCGAGGGGAAGGGGGGAAAGGTATGGGGCATGGGAGAATAGTGGAAGAGGGGGCAGGGATAAGGAGCTCGAGGGGGATGGGGGGGCCCGCAGGGGAAGGACGAGCTAGCAGATGAGGTAGGGTCACTCCCTCCTCATCCTCACCCGTCTCCTCCTCCTCCTCCTCCTCCCCCTCCTCCTCCTCCTCCTCTCCCTCTTCGTCCTCCTCCTCCTCCTCCTCCTCCTCCTCCCCCTCCTCCTCCTCCCCCTCCTCCTCCTCCTCCTCCTCCTCCTCCTCCTCCTCCTCCTCCGGATCCACACCTCCTCCTCCTCATCCTCCTCGCCCGCCTCCTCCTCCTTATCGGCCGCCGCCGCGCCGCCCCATCCACCCGCCCGCCAGGCCATCCTGTTCCACATGAGCGTGGACTCAATGTTTGTTCCTCTACCCAGAGAATATGCGCAAAAGCCCCGTCGACAGCGACATTCTGGTCAAGGCTGGGGGAGGGGGATGATGATGGGGGAAGTGGGAGCATGAGGAGGGATATTCGCACGCATGCAAGGGCGCAGGATGAAGGGGTACAACGTGGGGAAGGGAGATGATGGGAGATAAGCGGGACCAGGAGGAGGATCATTGGGTGTCATTGGGATGTCATTGGGTGTTCATTGCATTTGCGTTGGCGGGGATGGGAGCACAAGAAATTGATGCACAGCCTCTTGATCGCGCTGAACGGCCATAAGCTCACGAAGCAGTGCGCCGAGGGCGCGCTCAAGGCTGTCCACGAGTTGAGGGGGTTCAACCTTCCAAACGCGGAGGGGAAGGGTGGATAATGGAGGAGGCTCGAGGAGCTAGGATGAGGAGAAGTAGGAGGAGGAGGAGGAGGAGGAGAGTGGAGGAGGGGGAGGAGGAGGAGGAGAGTGGAGGAGGAGGAGTAGGAGGGGAGGAGGACGAGAGGAAGCAGGAGGAGGAGGCAGGAGGGAAGTGGGAGATAGAGAGAGGAAAAAGGGGAGGAGAGAGAGAGAGAGGGGGAGATAGAGAACGGGAGGCTCGCGAGAAGTGGATCGATACGATGGCGAAGAGGCTCAGGACGGCGGTGAGACACATTCGGGACACAGGACTGCTGCCGCCCTCCGTTGAGCATCTGCTGCACGTTCCGCTTACCTTCCCATCATTTCTTGCCTATATCTCCTCCTGCCCCTGATGCCTAATCGTCGTAGTTAATTATGTCTTCCCCCATACTCTCAGCCCGTTTACTGTGTCCCCTCGTTCAGTTTCCCTCCAGTCTTCCCGCGGCAGCGCCAGGATCACGACGGCCAGACACGGCGTGGCTTCAAGAGCTGCTGCCAGAAGATAAATAAGAAGAAAAAGAAGAAGACGCAGAAAAAGAATAATAATAATAAACAGAACACAAAGATCAGCTAGTGAGGAAGAGGCCAGCGGCGAGCAAGGTGGGCGATGATGACGACGGCCCAGTGGTGAAAAGGCCAGCGGCGAGGAATGTTGACGATGATGACGACGACTCCCCACTGATGAAAAAGCCAGCGGCAGCAGCAGCGAAAAGTGTCATCAGAAAGAGGGTCGAGGATGATGGGGACGGGGATGATGATGCGAACAGTCTGAAAAAAAAAACAAAGATTGCAGATAAGGAGGAGGCTGCAGCGGCAAGGGCGATGGCACAGTTGCACGGCAATCAGCAAAGCCAGCAGCAAGGAAAGAAGCCACGCCACCGGTAAAGCCGTCGGCGGAGGCAGCAGCAGTTGCAAAGCACTCAGCACAAGCAGCAGCAGAGAAAGAATCTATGCCAGCGGTAGAGCAGTCGGCAGAGGCAGCAGAAGCAGTTGCAAAGCAATCAGCACAAGCAGCAACAGATATAGAACCCATGCCATCGGTACAGCCAGCGGCGAGAAAGCCGCGCGAATGCATGACGGAAGAAGAAGCATTTGCAGCTGATTGGGAGGATAAGACAGCACGTTGGCATCGGAAGACGGGTGAAAGTGGCGAGGAGTTAAGCATGTTAGAGAGGGTAGCGAAACGAGCGCTTGAGATGATAGCCCCAGCACCAT